GGAAATAAAGGTTTATTCTTCCTTAGGCTATGGGTGCTAAAGCGCAACCAGAGGTTACTAAACCACGATCAAATCTGTGGACAGTATTATGCCTGTGACGGACTCGGACGTCAGACCAGTGCTGTGGATAGTTTTGCCAATCGCGAATAGTTGTGACGTGGGCGAATTCTGTTTTAATCACCTAATCTCGTACTGCAATTCAACCATTAGCGACTCCATTTTTCAATATTCAGATAAGATTGCAGTTCGTGACTTCAGCTAAGCGGTTTGTTTGTGCGAGCACTGGTTTTAGTGGAGGAAACGCGACGCGGGTAAAACATGATCATTCAGCATAGTGATTGATTTGAACTACCTTTCGGACTTCATGCTCACGCACAATCCTCAATTCATCGATACACACACTATACACTCGGAAGCACTAGACTAGCGTTTCGCCCTTAGTAGAACTCATCCCATAACACTGCTCACAAGTAACTGAGTTCAATACGAATAATCAATCGAGTCTGGTAGGTTTGTGGCACGTCAGCCCGTAATCTGCATGGAAGTCCTGACTTGGTGGGGGGCTTTCGATTGGAGTTAATAGATTGTCATCTGTGTCTCCTTTCGTTGCTGTCGGGCCATAAGAACTGCCTCAAGACGAAATCGGAACAAACATGAATTGGCTATTCAGTTCAGACCCCGGTATCAGTTGGCTGGCAGTGGTAACGCACATATGCCTTTCATGAGATAGGTCCGGAGTTCAAATCCCGGACGGGATGGTGGATATGCACCACTGATGAGCTCTAATAAGAGCGAAACCCAAGTATAGTGCTTCTGAGTGTATGGTTGAATCGATGAACTGAAGGTTGTGCGTGAACATGAAGTTCGAAGGATAGTCAGTTCAAGTCAATCAGTATCAATTATCCCATACTATTACTCCCAAATAACTGCGAGTTAAATGAGAACATATAGCGCGCAGTGATGATTGAGAATCTCAGATGGTGTGTGCACGTGCGTCTATGGGATTAGTGGCGCAGCGAAAAATTTCAGTTGAGAATGGAAATATCTTTTGGGGATCTCATTATCCCTGCACTGTTTGTTCGGTAACTCTTCGGGGCACGCGAACAGTTCCTCTCCCGTTCCAACCAATTGTATGAACCAAATAACCAACGGACAATCGGCGACGAGAAGCAGTATGGTTAACGCCCGACAGGCCCTCAACGGGAACTGATTTGCCATGCTCGCAATATATATATATATATATATATATATATATATATATATATATATATATATATA